AGGCACCCTGCTATGAAAGGAGCCCTCAGCACATGATCCTGAGCTGTATGAGCTGTTCGGTCGTGAAGGGACTTCTACTTTGCATAACAGAGGTCTCCAACAATTGTGAAAATGACCGTCCTACCAAAAGCAATATATAGATCAATGCAATCCCAATCAAAATCCCCATGACATACTTCACAGAATTAGAAAAAAAAAAAAAGTACTTAAATTCATATGGAAGCACAAAAGACCCCAGCTAGCCAAAGCGACCCTGAGTACAAAGAGCAGTGCTGGAGCATTACTATACCAGATCTCAAAGTATACTACAGAGCTATAGTCATAAAAACAGCATGGTACTGGCACAAAAATAGAACATAGATCAATGGAACATCATTGAAGACCCAAACCCAAGTACATGAAATTTCGACCATCTGATATTTGACAAAGGTGCCAAGAACAGGCAATGGAGGAAAGACAGCATCTTCAACAAATGGTGCTGGCAAAACTGGATCTCCACTTGCAGAAGAATGAAACTAGATCCTTATCTTTCACCTTGCACAAAAGTCAACTCCAAATGAATCAAAGACCTCAATGTGAAACTGGAAACCCTGAAACTATTATAAGAAATTATTGGTGGGGGCTGGAGAGATAGCTCAGAAGTTAAGAACACTGTTAACTTCCAGCACCAACCCCCAGCCTCCCTCCTTCCCAGTTTGCACAACTGCACTTATTTGGGACAGTCAGTAGTTCTCCAGTAGATCTCAAGAAATTGGATAAAGTAGCAGCTTCTGGAGTGGTAACTTCGGCCCTAGATCTGCTACCAGGAAGAAAGTAGTTTTTATATGATTCTCTCCACTTGGTAAAAAGTACCAGAAGGCATGGTTACATGTGGCTCCTGTTACTTCTGCTAAGTGGAGTCCCTCCTCTTCCTACCCTCAACTGTTTCCTCTAGTCAGAATTAAGCACAGTAACCTTTGGAAAGCTCTCACCTCTTTTTGTATAGGAGTATTTATAAACTTTATGTTTTAAATTAAGGAATGCAAAAATTATAGTGGCTCCAAAACAGCAAGAAAACGCTTCACATGATTTTAGTGACTATATTGGTTTGTGTGTGTTCTCTTGACAAGTCTCTGCTATTTATGTTTGCCTGCAATTTGCCTCACTTTTATGAAAATTAAATTTAGAATTCCCAAAAAAACCCACAAGAGGCTGGAGAGATGGCTCAGTGGTTTAAGAGCACTGACTGCTCTTGCAGAGGACCTGGGTTTGATTCCCAGCACCCACGTGGTGGCTACAAACCATCCTTAACTCCAGTTCCAGGGGAATCCTAAGCCCTCTTCTGACCTCTGAGGCACTGCACGACATGGGTACGCTCACATGCATGCATGCAATACACTCATACACATAAAATAAAAACAATAAATAAAATATTTAAAAACAAAAACAAATAAACCACAAAAAACCATAACAAAACAAAGTCCAAAAGTCCAGGGTCCTAAAGATCAGCTGCTCTGCCTCCCTACCTGCCCCTTCCCATACCCCTTTATCCCGTTTCCTGCCCCTCCTCATCCCCTTTAGTCTCCCCGACTCCCCCCAGTCCCTCCCCATTTCCCCAGCCCCTCCAGTCCACGTCCCCCTCTCCGGTTCCTCTCCCATTCCCTTCCCCGGTATCCTTTCCCCGCCCGGCTGTAACTTAGAGCGCCGGACATCTGGGGGCGGGCTCTGCCTGGCTGCACCCTTTGATTGGACAGAGAAAGGGGCGGGGCCTGGCGGCCTGCGGGGAGCGCCTTGTGGAGTTCCAACAGCTGAGCGCCAAATCCAGGTTTGTGCGGAGGCGGCGGGTCACGTGGTGTGCAGTCTGCAGATGCTCTGGCGGAACCGCGTTTAGGTGGGAAGCTTTAGCTGCTTAGAGAGTTGGAGGCCATCCTGGACTACGGATTCAGACCGTGTCACAAAAGTCCACCATCGAAAGTAGGTATGTAATCTCTGCTTTTTTTTTTTTTTGGTCTTTTTGAGACAGGGTCTCCCTGTAGCCCCAGCTGTCCTGCAACTCACTATGTAGACCAGGCTGGCCTTGAACTCACAGAGATCCGCCTGCCTCTGCCTCCGAGTGGTGGGATTAAAGGTGTGCGCCACCACGCCCGGCCGTAATCTCTGCTTTAAAAAAAATTTTTTTTTTAATGTGTATGCGTGTATTGCCTGCATGTAGGTAAGTTCACCCGTGTCGTGCAGTGCCGGGGGAGGACAGAAGAGGCTCTCAGATCCCCTGGAACTGGAGTTACGGACAGTTGTTAGAGTCCATGTGGGTGCTGGGATTCGAACCCGGGTCTTCTACAAGAACAACCTGTGTTCTTAACCGCTAAGCCAACTCTCCAGCCCCCAATAAGCTCTGCTTTTTTGAGACGGGGGTGTCTCATGGAACCTAGGCTAGCCTCGAACTTGCTATGTGGCCGGACGGCCTAGAACTTCTAAATCTCCTGCTTCTACCTCCGCAGCATGGGCCGCCACACCTGGTTTATGAAGTGCTGGGGGTGGAACTCAGGGTTTTGTGCTTGCTATGAGCTATGTCCTTAGCCGTATAATCCATACTTTCAGTATGCTAGCAGATGTCTTTGTCTGCGGTATTCCTCTCTGATCTTAGAGAAAAATGTTGGATTATATAGTTTTTGGCCCAGTACCTGTATTTCAAAGTCTGGAAGCTGGGTGACCCTTGGTCAGCTGAAGCAAACACAGATGTGTTTCAGTCACATGCATTTCAGTCACATGGTTGCTGGACTGGAAACACCAGTTTAGATTTTCTACAGAATCGAATTTTAAAATTTATTGAGGGAATGTTGAAGGTAGGTGAATAATTGTGTAACCCAGGGTTTCTGGGAAGAACGAAAGGTAAACAAACCAGAGGGCAAAATCTGACTCTGTTATATCCCAGCGTCCTGGGATTACAGGTGTGCAACTCCATGCCCGTGGAAACCTGTGCTTTCAGAGTGCTTACTCTGGCACTGTTCTGAGTGCCTGATGTCCCCTTTAGCTCTCTCAAGCTAGCCTAGGAATGTTGTCATCCATGCTAGATGTGAGCAATTTGAGAAACATGCTAGTAACTGGGATCATTAATAGGAAGTGGCAATGCAGGATTTGAATCCAGAGCCATCCTCCAGCATGCCCTCCTCACTTGTGGGGGGCTTTGCTACCCTGTGAAGTGGGAGAATGAGGAGCCTGGTGTGTGGCATGTGTTCCTGCTCTTTTAGAGAATGAAGTTCCATTAGCTTCCATTAGATGTCTTTGTTCGTCCTGTTTGTTCTCCCAAATCTCATCTGCCTGGCTCCTTTCAGTTCTTCAGGTTGCAGTTCTGGTTTTCCATGGACCAATGTGTGCTTTTTGTGGTGCTGGGGATTGAACCTAGGGCCTTGTGCATGTTAGACAAGCAATCTACCACTGAGCTATATACTGAGTCCCCCATGGACTAATTTAAGTAGCTCCACCATTTACTGTCCTCACAGCCATCATCTTTCTTTTTTTTGAGAGGCTCACCTCAGCCTAGGAAGCATATGTCACCATATCCAGTGGTGTCTTGTGTGTTTCTTGATTATGACCTATTTTGCATAAACGCAGTACTCTTGTTTTGGGGGTTAGTTTTGGTTTTGGTTTCTTGTGAGACTGGGACTCATGTGCTCCACGCTGACCTTGAACTCCTTGATCTTCCTGTCTCCCCTTCTCAAATAGTGTGAATTAAAAAAGAAAAGAAAATTTGTTGGTTAAATAAATGAATTCAGTGGAGCAGAGTGCAGCTTGTTTTGAATTTACCGGAATTGCTCTATGGCCCAGGAATTCTACTTGTGGTAGAATTAAAAAGCAGAGACTCAAACAGGTTTTGTTAATTGTTTTAGACAGAGTCTCCCTATAGCCTGAACTGACCTGGAACACACAATGTACACCAGGCTGGCCTTGATTTCACAGAGATCCACCTGCCTCTGACTCCCAAGTGCTGGGATTAAACGCCTGGCTTCAAACAGATATTTTTACTTGAGTGTTCATGGCAGCATTACAGTAGCTAAAGGAGGAAACAACCCACATGTTCATCATAAAATGAGCAAATAAGCAAAATATGGTATCATCATATAATAGAATATTATGTCAGCCTTGAAGAGGCAAGAAATTACCTCCAACATTGCTGAACTTTGAAGACATTATACTGAATAAAATAAACCTTGTTCAGAGGACCAAATAGTATATGGTTCCACTCCTTTGAGATATCAAACTTAGTCCAGGCCATAGAGACAGATGGTAGAGTGATGGGCTTCTAGGAACTGAAGGAAGAGGAAAGAAGGGATTTAGTGCTTGTTTCATGGTTTGTTTGTTTGGGAGATAGAATTTCACCACATAGCCCAGGCTAACATTGACCTTTTTTTTTTTTTTTTTAAGATTTTATGGGTATACATGGATTGCCTGCATGTAGGTAAGTGCACCCATGTCATGCAATGCCCTCAGAGGACAGAAGAGGCTGTTGGATCCCCTGGAACTGGAGTTACGGATAGTTGTTAGCTGCCATGTGGGTGCTAGGATTCGAACCTGGGTCTTCTGCAAGAACAGACAGTGTTCTTAACCACTGAACCATCTCTCCAGCCCCACATTGACCCCCTTTTTTTTTTTTTAATGTGTTTATTGTATATGTGTGGAGGGAACACACATGCAGAGAGATCAAGTTAGTGTTCATGAATACAGAATGTATATTTGGGAAAATGAGAGAGTCTTGGAGATGGGTGGTGGTGATGGCTGCACAGCACTAAATATACTTACTGCCACAGAACTGCCTCAAACTGGTTAAATGGCCTTCAGTAAATGTTTAATGAAAATGTTGGGATCCCAGAAGCAGAGGACCTAGCTTGTGATTCTCATTTGCTAAGGGCTCAGAGAGGTTCTGGGTTTGCCTGAATTCTGAGCCGAAGGGAAGAAACTAGTGAGGTGGCCAGGTTTCCAAAGCACCCACTGTCCCATTGCTGCTTGGTTGTAAACCTCTCCTCCCCAGAGTACTTCTGCTGTGGCTACAGAAGCAAGTTAAGTGCTTTGCAGGTAGGGCCATATGTCTCATGATTTCATGCTTGTGTTAAAATAATAACTGCGGAGTTTAGGGTAGATGACTCAGCAGTTAGGAGTACTGGCTTCTCTACCAGGGGACCTGGGTTCAGTTTTCAGTGCCCACAATGGAGCTCAAGACCATCCATTTTCCAGTTCCAGAGGATCCAACGCCCTCTTCTGGCCTCCATGGGCACTGCATGCACAGGTACATGGGGCAAAGTACTCATACACATAAAATAAAAATGGTTAATTAAAAAAAAATGTTTTGAGGTGCTGGAGAGATGGCTCAGTGGTTAAGAGCACTGACTGCTCTTGCAGAGGACCCAGGTTTGATTCCCAGCACCCAAATGGCGGCTACAAACTATCCATAACTCCAGTTCCAGGGGAATCCGAAGCCCTCTTCTGACCTCTGCAGCATTGCATGACACGGGTGCACTCACATACATGCAGTCAGTACACTCATACACATAAAATTAAAACAAAAAACGCCATTTTGATAGTTCCTTTGTCTGCCTCTGCCAGACGGAAAAGGAGCCCTGTGGTCTGGGACTCCAAGACACCTCTCCTGGTTGTCTCTTACCCCAGCACCCCATGCTTCACCTGTTTTGACCCTATATCTTCAGTATTTGTGTTGGTCTGTGGTCCATGTCCACCAAAGAAAACCTCAGGAACCAGGGCTCTAGGAGATTTCTTGACCACAATACCCAAAAGGTAGTGGCCCATGAAAGGTCTTAAGTACTTGTCCAGTGGATGAAGTTTATACATAAACATCCTCAAAGTAACTGAAAAGGACAGGAGAACTGACAGCTGGTTAAAAGGAGGGCCCCTGTGAATGTATGCTAAAGACACTTGCTCTGTGGAGCTTGTTTTCTTGACTGGAAACATAGCTGGGCCTGGTGGCACCTGCCTTTAATCCCTGTACTCCAGAGGCAGAAGCAGGCGGATATCTGTGAGTTCCAGGCCAGCTGGGCTGTAGGGAGACCCTGTCTCAAAAGAAAAGAAAAGAGAAGGGGGGAGGGGGAAGGGAAGGGAAGATGACAGAAACAAACACGATGAAGGGCCAGGATTATGACATAACTGGTTTTCAGTACCTAGGGGGAGGAGTTTCTTACAGCAGAGCTCTCTATATATTTTGACAGAGTCTCAGAGAAATGTGTCCAGATTGAGAAGGGTACTATACTTAATTATAAAATGCTAGCTGAGTATGGTGGAAAATACCTAGAGTCCCAGCACTTGGGAAGCAGAAGCAAGAGGATTTTCAAAGAAAAAAAAAAAGAATCTAAACTGCTGCTCTTGGGCATCTTGGAATATCCCAATTGCTTACATTCTTTTCTTTGTTAACTTGTGAATCTGCAGGGAAAATCTGAAAAGGATGGAATGTGTACTGTTTAATCGGAATTTATCAGTTCTCTGCCAGTGGAATTTGATTTATCAACAATTAATCTGATTAGTCACTCAGCACATGTTCCTTCCTCCTACAGCGTTGTACTGGAAAATTAGAAAAAAACCTTTGGTTGGCAGTGGTTAGTGGGTTCAGTGTAGATAGCTGCCTAGGAAGGCCTTGAAGGAGGCTGCTTTGTGGGGGGCAACATTGGGATCAGGAGGATAAGGTCCAAATTTCAGAAAGGGGGGCTTGAATTCCCAGCACCCACATAGCAGTTAACAACCCTCTGTAACTCCAGTTCCAGGGGATCTAACACCCTCTTCTGACCTCCGTAGACACTGCAGGACATGGGCACACCTACATGCAGGCAATACACTCATACACATAAAAAAAAAAAAAAGAGTTCAGAAAGCAGCCACAATTATGCAGTGTCTTCACAATATGTTTCTGCTTACCACAGTATTCCTAGGGGTCGGTTAAAAAAGTGTCACAACTCAGAAGAGATTAAAGATTACTATGCATGCATCACTGGCGTTAATGTTGGAAGCTACATATACTTTTCCTATGTTTTAGGCAACTTTGAACCAGTGAGATGGCGGTTCCTGTCAATGGAGCCCACAGGGATGCTGCCCTCTGGTCTTCTCATGATAAGATGTTGGCTCAGTCCCTCAAGGACAGTGACATTGAGGTGAGATTTTTTGGCATCTTCATGTATTTAGAACTCTGTAGCAGGGGGTTGCTTTGTCTTTTTCTTTTTGTGATGCTAAGGATGGAACCCAGGGCCTCATACCTTCTAGGCAGATAGTCCACCACTGTACTACACTCCTAGTCTCTAAATTGTTAATTGTAATCCTGAATTAACTTGATTAGGTACACATAGGCTTGCAATTACAAGAGTGCAAGATTGTGGGGCTAGGATATAGTGTGGTGGTAGAGCACTTGCCTGGCATATATGAGGCTCTCTCTGGGTTCCATCTTCAGTGTCACACAAAAAGTGACAGATTGAGACACCATGGCTGAAAGTCTTTGAGGGATAAATATAAATATTTCTGAGTTTTTATAGAGTTCAGAGCACAGTCCTGGGTACTTTGGTGCAAAGTAGGGAAAAGGTTGACCCTTACAGTACACAGGAAGCATACCTGCTTATATACTTAAAGGCAACTTTATTTATTTTTAAAAAATATTTTGTTACTTTTATTAATATTTTTATTTATTATTGCCTGTATGTGTGTAAGTGTACTCGTGTTGTGCAATGCCCATAGCAGTCAGAAGGTGTCAGATCCCCTGGAACTGGAATTACAGACATTTCTTAGCCATCATGCTGGTGCTGGGAATCAAACCTGGGTCCTCTGAAGGAGCAGTCAGTGCTCTTGACTGCTGAGCCATCTCTCCAGTCCCTCAAACATTTACTTCTAATTGAACTCTATTTGTTTTTTATCTTTTGAGACAGGGTCTCCCTGTAGCCCCAACTGGCCTGGACCTCACTATGTAGAACAGGCTGGCCCGAGATCTACCTGCCTCTGCCTCCGAATGCTGGGATTAAAGGTGTGTTCCACCACACCCGACTATTTATTTCTTGATTAAAGGTGTGTGCCACCACACCTGACTATGTGTTTATTCATATATTTTATATATATTATATATTTTATGTATTTGTGTATTATTTATATATATTTATTTTTGAGACAAGGTATCCTGTAGCCCCAGCTGGCCTGGAATTTGCTATGTAGACCAGGCTAGCTTCAATCTCATAGAGATCTGGCTACTTCTGCCTTCCAAGTGCTGGGATTAAAGTTGTGTGCCACAATGCCGAGCAGTTTTTTGTTTTGTTTGTTTGTTTGGAGTTTTTTTGGTCTTTTTGAGATAGGGTCTCCCTGTAACCCCAGCCAGCCTAGAACTCACTATGTAGACCAGGCTGACCTTGAACTCACAGCGATCCACCTGCCTCTGCCTCCCTAGTGCTGGGATCAAGGGTGTGCACCACCATGCCGGTCCTCCAGCAATTTTTTATAATAGTTTTATTGATATATTATTCACTTACAATTCCTCCTTCTTTCTCCTTCTCTTCACCTCAAACTCTTATTATGCCAAGGGTGACCTTGAACTTCTGATCCTGGTTCCAACTCCTGAGTGTTGATACTACAGGCATTTGCCACCATATCCAGTTTATTCATTGCTGAAGAATTGAACACAGGGTTCAGGAATGCTAAGCAAGCACTCTACTAACTGAGCTACAATCTCAACCTTGCATGTGTTTTCTTCTTACAAGGTTTATAGCATTATCAAAAAGGAAAGTAACCGGCAAAGGGTTGGATTGGAGCTGATTGCCTCAGAGAATTTTGCCAGCCGAGCAGTATTGGAGGCCCTGGGATCTTGCTTAAATAACAAATACTCAGAGGGGTACCCAGGCCACAGGTGAGTGAGTGTCCTCAAAAGTCCTGCCCTGACTGGTTTTGTTTTTCTGGGGTTTTTTTTGAGACAGGGTCTTTCGGTGTGGCCCAGGTTAACCTTGAACTCTAATCCTCTTGCCTCAGGCTCCCAAGTGCTGTGATTACAGTTGTAAGCTACCTAGCTTAGCTTCAGTGCAGAATCTAAATAATAGGTAAATTTCAAAAACCTGCAGCTTCCTAGCTGTGGGCTCTTCCTCCCCTCCTGATCTCTGGTAACTCTTCTAGTTCCTAGCCTGGGATTCTGGGATTTTCTCAGAGCAGTTATGCTCAGGTCAGTCCCTATATTAGAAATTTCTAGGAGAGCAGGCTAGTCTATGAGGGGTATGGTCCAGCCTCTATCCAGAAAAGATCATTGTCCTCTGATGGATACCACAGAAAATGGCTGTTGCTGTGAGAGCTGTTAAATCTGGGAAATGAGAGAAACTGTGTTGTAGGTTCAGTGTTCCTTGTCTGAAATACAGCCAGAAGTATTTGAGGCTTCAGAAGTTTTCATTAGAATATTTGCATAAATTCATTGTTTAAGCATTCTAAATCTGAAATCCAAAATGCTCCAAAACTTGAAACTTTTAGTGCTTTGTTTTGAAACAGGGTCTTGCTCTGTAACCATAGAACTTGCTGTATAGACCAGGTTGGCTGCAAACTTGTACTGATCCTCCTGCCTCTGCCTCTCAAGTGTTGGGTATACAGGTATAGACCACTATGCTTGACCTTTTCTGGTTTTGTTGGTGCTTGCTGGGGATTAAATTTAGGGCCTGAAGCATGTTAGGCAAGTGCTCTACCACTGACCTACATACCACCTAGAAACTAGTTTTTTAAGACCAAGTCTCACTGTATAGCCTAGGCTGGTCTCATACTTCTAAGTGATCCTTCTGACCTTTCCTAATGCTGGGAACTACAGGAGTGTGCCACTGCACCCAATATTGTTTTAGTTTGTTTGATTTTTGGGGGTGTGCGCGCGCGCATGCGCGCGCGCGCGCGTGTGTGTGTGTGTGTGTGTGTGTGTGTGTGTGTGTGTGTGTGTGTGTGTGTGTCACAGTCTTTAGAAAAAAAA